CCTTCCCCGCCACGGCGCGCCCCTCCTCCACCGCGCGCCCCGGCTCACTTTGGGATTTCTCCATTAAATCCTCAGGCAGCGACCTGCTCCAACGTTGCTTGGCAATTTTGATATCGTCGAGTGTTGCCATGGGGAGGAGAGTGATGTCATTGACATAAAAAAAAAAAAAAACACACCAAACCCACTGAATTTACAAATCAGCTGGGGCTGGAGCTATTTATAAAAGCCTTTTCGCCTGCCTTCCTTCACTGAGCGGGAGGAGAGGAAGAGCTGCCTGCCGGAACCAGTGGGCGCCTCCCCCAGCCCCGCAGCCAGACCTCCCAGGCTCCCCACCCCCGCAGCGCTGCGAGATTCAGACCTGGCTGGCCCTGACCACAGCTGGGCTGAGCTCCCTTGCCGGGTCTCAGCTGGTTTTGCTGTGAGTGGCACACAGGGAGTGCTGGGCAGCGTGAACGCTGGCGTCCTGGGTTTGCAGGCACCAGTGAAACCAGCCACTCAACCGCCCCGTACGAATCATGCCCCCTCCCCCGCCAGAAACCAGGGCGTGTGCAGGTGAGTATCGTGAGCTCTTCTGCGCATGCACCTACCGGTCAGCTGCCCTGAGCGCGCCAGGTGGAGCCCAGCCTGCCGCGGTGCCCTCTCTCTCCCAGCCTCCCGCCTCCTTCACTGGCTCCTTTACTTCTCCCAGAATCCAGCTGAGGGTGCCCAAGCTCCAGCTCTGACTCCCTAACCCTCTCTCCCCACACTTACCACGCTTGAGTGGAACACCGTCCTCTCCGTGGCTTTGACCGTCAACCTGGAAAAGCTCACCGCGGGGCCCAACACCCTGCCGCTTCATTGCAGGTGCCACCCTGGCCCGTGACCGGCCAGCTCCTGCTCCCAGGGCCCACTGTTGCTGACAGGTGGGAACCTGGCCCTTATTTCCGAGGTGGCACTAGGCTGCTCATATTATATTGGAAACTCATCCATTTTCTTCCAGAGTAAAAGCAACGTGGCATTTGGTTAAAAGCCCAGGCTATGAGTTTTCGCTCTCCTGACTTCAAGTCCCAGCTCTGCTCATCAACCAAGTGACCTGGGCATGTTATTTAACCAACTAAACTCAATTTCCTTATCCACAAAATGGGGGTGATTTTGCCCAGCTTCCAGGATTGTGGGAATTAAGTGAACAAAGCTCCTGGCACAGGAGCTCAATAAACATGAATTTTCTTCTTAGCTGTCATGACTGTGTTGCTCATTGCTTATTCTTATCCACCTACCAACTGGTGACAGATTAATCTTCCAAAACCGGGACCTCAGTCACTTCCTGTGCAAAGGTCTCAAGCTGAACACATACACAATTTGATTGAACTGCACAGTATTGGAGCACATGGCATTAATCATAAAAACTTCAATTAGTCAGGTCCTCCAACTACCAGCCATGGAACCCACCTTAACTCCATTTCGAGCAAGAAAGAAATTTTTTTATAGCCATCAGGTAACTAATTCCCAGCACTGATGAGAAGTCTGGAGCATCAAGTTAGGACAGAAGCCAGGGCAGCCCCAAGGTCTCTAGGCATCAGGACTGACCTGGACAGAAGTGCTCCCACCACACACTCCACCTAGTGCACCTCCACACCTAGTCCAGAGCAGGGTGCCTCTGGTGGCCGCCTCAGGTCATGTATCCACCTTTGGTGGTGGTGGGGTAGCCTGGGCACAGTGCTTCTGTCACCAGACACGATGTGGTGAAGATTAGGGTGCTGTTTCTAAAGGAAAGGGTGATGGAGGCCCCAAACCAGCCAAAGGTCACCACAGCATCTTTGGCACTTTTTTTAATAATTTTAAATTTCTAAGTGTCATAGTCTGTAATTGTTGATTCTTTTTTTTTTTTAATATATTTTATTGTTTTTTTACAGAGAGGAAGGGAGAGGGATAGAGAGTTAGAAACATTGATCAGCTGCCTCCTCCACGCCCCCTACTGGGGATTTGCCTGCAACCAAGGTACATGCCCTTGACCGGAATCGAACCTGGGACCTTCAGTCCGAAGGCCGACGCTCTATCTACTGAGCCAAACCGGTCAGGGGTAATTGTTGATTCTTGTGTTGTCTTCATGGACTGCGGGAAGCCATTGCTTGCCAATACTGTCACCAAGGAACGCGGAAGGCCGATGGACCTTGGGCATTAGCAGGGCTGACGCTAAGGACGGATTGTTCGTGTTGAGAAAGCGGTGGCTCAAGGCAATTTCCTAACCTGATAATCCTTTTACTGTTTACTAGACTTTACCTTTGATATGCCTGTATGCATTGCTAAAGGGCAAATGTGTATTCAAGCAAATAAATAGTACACCAGGCCAGAAGTTGGTGTGTCTCTTCAAGAAAGAGGCTCCACCTGGCCCTCAATGCCTTCTAAATTCATATTTCTTGTATAGCATTTTCATTTGTGCATCGGCCCCTCCTTCAGTTCCTGAACCCAGCCATGCAGGTCGCGGCAAGGGACTTCTGAAAACTGATGGCCTGCACAGTCTCATTCCTCTGCTCTGTGATGTTGCATGACTTATTGATTTGGTGAAAAGATCTGCAAACTGACATCCACTTCTTTCACAGGTTGTAGAAAGGGGATTGTGTGATCTGCCAGCCTTTGGAGAAGGTGTGAAGCTTGACTGCCTGTTGCTCCTGGGCCAGTGGTGTGCCCTGAGCCCTTCTTTATCCCAGTGGACTCACCTCTCTGCTCATCCCAGTAGGCTGTGAGCGCTCTAGGGCAGGAATCCCGGCATGGTGCTTGGCACACAGGAGATGCTCATGCAAATGAGCATCTTTGTTGAATGAATGAATGACTGAATGAACATCTGAAGAGGTTCTGTGCTCTGGCCACCCCTACTTGGACTATGGTGAATTATGGAGCTGAGAGGAATTCTAGGATTATCAGCCCCACCCCTCTTTCCAGGTGAGAAAACTGCAGTCTAGAGATTAGGTGACTCAGCAAAGCCACATTGGAAATTGGAGGCAGAGTCAGGACTGGAACATGGTTTTCCCTCCTACAGGCCTGTGGCTCCCTTTGCTGTCCCGCAGGTCCATTCTACCTCAAGCCCCAAGTGTGGTTTTCTGTAATTTAGTCAAGGCAGCAGTGACGATGTCACCACAGGCATTTCTGCCTTTGAATCTTGGCTCCCTAGGTTGCAGCAATGCAAATCAGCCATGATGATGTCCTTATAATTTCTTTCTTCCTTTTTTTCTTTCTTATTTTTATTTCTTAATCCAAGGGTATTTCTCCATTGATTTTTAGAGAGAGTGGAAGAGAGAGGGAAAGACAGAGAGAAACATCGATGTGAGAGAAACACATTGAGGTACATGCCCTTGACTGGAATTGAAACTGGGACCCTTTGATCCACAGGCTGATGTTCTATCCACTGAGCAAAACCAGCTAGGGCAACAATCTATACTAATAAAAGGGTAATATGCTAATTAGACCAGATAGACCGGACATCCTTCTGGACAAAGCCTCAGCAGCTGCGAGGGCCAAGGAGGACCGGCAGCCACAGTGGCCGGCAGTGGCAACAGCAGTGGGGCAATGGGGTCACCTCCCGCAGAGGGAGGCCAGACTGTGGCCTAAGCCGTCAGTAGGACATCCCTGAGGGCTCCCGGACTGCGAGAGGGGGCAGGCTGGGCTGAGGGACACCCTCCCAGTGCACAAATTTTTGTGCACTGGGCCTGTAGTTTCTTAATAAAGTCTTTCACTTGAAGCTCTTTTGTTTTTGAAAATGGATATATACTTACAGCCTCAAAAACAGCTTGCCTCATCTGCACCATTTTGGTGAGTCAGGTTCAGCTGGAATGATTGCCCACATCAACGATGTCTTACTGCATGATTTTAAAAGAATCATCTGAAGATATGTTTAGAAAGGCCATGTAACAATGAAGTCCTAAAATTTTCCTGAACTAATGCTTCATAGGTTTTCCCAAAGAATGAAGTTTCAGAAACAAAGTCTAGGGTTCTAGCATATGGGAAAAATTCCCGTTCACTGCCACATTTTTCTAGATCTTTAGATTCTTCTACACACTTCCCACCTTCTTGTGCTGCATGGATAGAGGGTGCCTTACACAGGTTTTCTGACGGCTGAGTGGGCCTGTCTTCACCTGCCTACACTCGTCAACACCTCGCACCTCAGGGCCAGGAAGGGAGGAACAGATTCTGCTTGCCTTCACCTCCTACCATCCAAGCCAGGGCAGGCTCCAGAGAGAAAGCCTGGGATTAACGAGCAGGTGTTGTCACTGGAGGTGCCTCCTGCACTCCAAGGCTGCTGTTACCTCAGAAGTGTCCCTCAGCCCTGGGCCCCCAGGAGAGCCAGGCCAGAAGCAGGGGCCTCACCTCCAAGAGATGTTCCCAAATGGCTTCCTGCATGGCAGGTGGGGTGCCTGGGGAGCAGATGCCTCCAGGGCACCCACCCAGCCTCTGCGGCGTTGGTAGCAAACGGGAGGATGACCAGGTCAAGTCCTGAAGGTCCAGTAGGAAGGATGCTTACGGGCCTGTCAGATAAAGATGCTCTGGGGACCTTCTGTGCCCGCTCCTCTGGCCCCGCTCCTCCTCCCATCCAGAGTGTGTGTGTGTGTGTGTGTGTGTGAGCGTGTGCGTGCGCGCGCGTGTGCGCATGCCCAGGGTAGTGAAGTGCCCTGGGGGCAGGGCCAGCTGTGTGGGCGATGGCCGGCAGGGGCTTCTATCATGCTCCATGGAATAGGAGTGCCCACTGGGCTGCAGGTTGGGGGGTTTCTCCAGGAACTCGTTCCTTTAACTAGAGCACATTGGAAAAGCCTGGGAGGAGTTACAACCAACAGCCCTGCCGCCAGGCTGCTGCCACTCTGGCCTTGATCAGAAGGCCCAAGGCTGGCCCTCTGCCTAAAAGCAAAGAGGGAACGTGGAGGCGTCCCAATAGCCTAGTCTAGGCTGCAGAACCTGCCTGGACCAAGGGGCAGGGGAGTGGGAGGAGGTGAAGGGACCATAGTGCTGTCTGACAGAAAACAGGGCTTATGTCCTGAAAAGCTGGTTTAGCATCCCCCATGCCTCTGGGGCACCTGGAGGAAGCCAGAAGAGAGCGTGGCAGTGGCATGGTCAGCGGGGAGACACCCAGAGAAGGGAGGGTCAGGTGGTCTTCCCATGTTGCCCAGCCCATCACCGTGCTATAGGGGGCATGAGAGGGGGGAGCACAGACCAGAATCTCATCAGCATTAGGGGTGACCCCGGCTAGGAGTTCTGCTGTTGACCTCCAGAGTTTCCCCTCAGGAGAAACAGTTTTCTTCAAGTAATGGGTTGCTTTTCCAGGGGTGGATGGAAGTGTGAAAATACTTGGTTTTGTGAAATGGGGTGGTAGCAGCTGAAAACAATTCTATGAAGTATTTGGCATGTGCCAGCGTAGTATGGCTAGGAACTTTCTCCACCTGTTAGTTCATTGAATCCTCAAAACACCAAAAGGTCAATGTTATGATCCCCATTTGTACAGATGAGGAATCAGGCTCAGAGCACTGCCCTGGCGCTCACTGTGACCCCCGTGGCTGAGGCAGCCACTCCTGGGGCAGCTCTGGCTCGACTGTTGGTGGGTGACACCGCACAGAGGCCTGAAGGGAGCCCACAGTTGGGGTCTGACCACACCTGCTCCGATGGGCTGAGTGCTGCCTCCGATGGCTTTCATCCCTGTGGGGCAGCGCGGGCCTTTAGACTTCAGGAGGGAGTCAGCACTCACGCCCAGTTCGGTGGCTGGGAGCAGGCCTTTCCGAGGGGTCAGCCTGTCCTGGGAGCAGCCTCTATGGGCGGGTTGACCCATTTCTGTCAGAGCACGGGAAAGGTGGGACTAGCAGAAACTGGCTAGGCTGTCGCTGAGACGGAGTGAAAAAGAAAGGTGAAATCGGCATCCATGTCTGCTAGGCTGGTCCCAGGCACTTCAGGAGTTTGACCCTGAGGTATTAATAGCAATGTGAGGGCGGCTCAGAAACTGGTCAGAGCAGAGTTACACACAGCAGAGTCCCAGGGGCTGGATCACAATTGTGTCCTCTTTTCAGCAGAGGATGTGAGGGTCTTTGCCATCCCAGCCCTAGTCCACCAGGAGCAGTCTCCTTAACATGTCTCCGTTCGCATGAGCAAGGACTAGCGATAATCTGGCAGCACAGGTGCTACAAAGCAGCGAATGGACATAGGTGGAGGGTTCCTGATGTCTCTACAATGACTGGCTAAAAGCTAACTTTCTTTCTTTTTTTT